TTTTGCAAGGCTAAGAATTTCTTGAAGTGCCGATTTGTTCGTTTGTTTGTTTTTATAAATGATGTGGGCATCTTAAAACTGATCTGAACGCCTCGCACTTGCACTTAAAACTCTTTGCGGTGTCGGTCTCACAATTTAAAAAGTCAAAATGTCTCGGGCTTGCAAAGAAAAACGCTAGTCTCGCCTTCTTCAAGTCTCGCATTTACCATTTACCATCTCCTATACTTAGTGCCTACGTTCCGATCCTTAAGTGTCTGGTTGCGATTTGCAGTGTTTCTATAAACTCTTGTGGTTTTTGATCCGGCGTTACTCCATCGATACAGCACTTACCATTTTTATCGTTACAGACATAGAACTTAATCCTCATGTTATGAGTGGCACATCTTCCACCTGAGGTTTGATCCAGGGACGTCTTTTGTCCATTAGAGGTAGCTGAAATGCGACAAAAACAAGTTCAGAAATCGGAGGCAGGACAAACAGAGCTCACGTTGAGGAATATACTGTTCGGAATATTGAGAAGAAGAAAACTGCATAATAATTTTACATAGGTTTTAAAGAGATTTTTAGTTGCTGTATATTTTAGAGGCCCACAAGTTTGTTAGTTCTAAAAGTGAAATGTTTTTTCACCCTCTGTAAATGAAGATTGGTTGATTGATGGATTGATTGATTGATATTCATTCTCTGACCTACCGTTTTGCTCCAAACGAGTTAAAACACACCCACTCTCGAAACGCCAAATTTTCAGGTTAGCTTGGATTAAAATTTTATCAAATTCAAGATGATTTTTCTGTAATTATTCTAACCGTCTGCTGTTATTTTTACAATAAAACTACATAGTGTGTCTTGTTTTACATTAGGAGACACGACACATTAATATCTAGAATTGCGTGGACTAAATTCAATTTTTGCCGGTTAACGCGATACAGCACCCTCTCTACGTGCAGACTACATTTAATTGCTTTAAAGGCTTAGTTTAAAACATGAACAATGTCTTATCTCCTATTGCAATTCTGTGATTTTCGTTCGTCAGTAACCACGTAGATCTCATAGGATAGTGCATCCCTTTTGGTTGAGGAAAGTCTGTGTAAACCAACAACAACAACAACAACAACAACAACAACAACAACAACTGCTCCTCACACCAATAAAGAATACGTACGCATTGCGTGCCTATCGATCTTTTCTTTAGCGCCCGCGAGTGAGTCGTCAGAATTGTTTACATGTCTTTAGAAGGTTTCAAAGAAGTATTATGAACGTGAAAAGACAGATACTTTATGTTAGTTACCTACGATACGATACATTACTTTATTTAACGTGGAGCTACGCTTAGCTTCTTAGCTAGTTTACAGGTTTACCTATGAAGAAATATTCCTTTCCAGGCTCAAATTCCAAGCCATCCGGACCAACGGCGCTGAACCGCTGAAAGATTATACTGAAGTATTGCAGCTTCAGAGGAGTGTCGCATTTCATCAGAATTCTGTTGCCATAGTTAGAGGTGTTTACTGCGCATGTGTCATAAGCCTGTTTGTCCACTATCCACAGATTTTCATAAAGCTCTTCCAAGCGAATGCTCCCTTCGATAGCAATCGGGATCATCGCGGGATTCGGGCAAACAATTTTGATCTTGCTGTTAGCCAGGACGGCCAACGAATAGTTGGTTTGAAATCTGTAAGAAATAAATCAACACAGAAGGAACTCAGTCACGCTATTTTAAGCCGGTAATTTTGGCCAGGTACAAAATTACGTTTAAATTGATCTGAAGGAAACCTGAAAATGGTAGTTTACTAAGACAGAAAAAAACACCAAAGAGATAATAATAACCCGTAAAGGAACAAGGATGGTTAAGGATTGGGAAGATTAACACGGATTACAACCGACGAACTTGAAAAATTTAGATTAATTTAGGCTAAACTTTTCGACATGCGCAAACTGTGACATAGCTCCTTTAAG